TTTTTTTTTTTTTTTTTTTTTTTTTTGGCACTGGGGATCAAACTCGGGACCTTGCGAGGCAGGCAGCGGAACCACTGAGCCAAATCCCCGGCCCTGATTCTGAGAATTTAAAGTTGCATAGTTTGTCAGAACCTTCTGACAACATCCTACCCTGTGCTGTAGACAGTGGAAAGAGCCAGCAGCCTGCTAGCACTTTCTTTTTCTCCTTATTTCTCATCCACACAAACTCAGATGAGGTTTGGCTGCTATGTCTTTGTGCCACCCCTTTGTAGAGCTTTGTAGCCATATTTATTTTTCAGTTTAAGGTTGCATCATACCCACGTATGGGCTTTCAAGAGTTCTTTAAAAGTTACTGTTTTGACATTTAAAGATTTTTCATTAAAAAAAATTATAGAAAATAATAAAGGCAGTGTGAAAGATTGATGACTAAATATATTTTTCTATTCTGATCTCAATAAGAAGTTGACATGCATTAAGATTAATGCTCAATAACTTTAGTAAATACTCAGTTCTGTGTGTGTGTGCTTTTAGATGCTGCTGTTAACTCTGGAGAACTGTGGTTTGTAAACTTTTATTCACCAGGATGTTCACACTGCCATGATTTAGCCCCCACTGTACGTATTCTTTAAATTCAGATTATTAAAAGTTTTATTTCTAATCTGTTATTTGTGCATATTTCTTTTTTTAATATGTTGGCTTTTTTACTAATAGTAATTGTGACTATCAGAAATATCAAATACTTTTACATGTGGATGGCTCTATTTGATAAAAATTCTCTCCTTTAAGAGCATGTAACTTGAAGTATGTTTGTGAAAAGGAAAGTGATTTTAGCAGAGAAATACTTAAACTTTCTTTTCTCTCACAGTGGAGAGAATTTGCTAAAGAAGTGGATGGATTACTTCGAATTGGAGCTGTAAATTGTGGCGATGATAGGATGCTTTGCCGAATGAAAGGAGTCAACAGTTATCCAAGCCTCTTCATTTTTAGGTCTGGAATGGTAAGGGGATAGCCTTAGCACTTTTCAAATCCATGCAAGTTTGCAACATGTGAATACTTGAAAAAATACAACATAAGAATTTGTAGTTTTCTAAGTCTTTTTTTTTGTGGTGCCATCTAACTAATAATGATAAATACTTTGGATTATTTTATGAATCTTTACATGCCATGACTGACTGTGTTGTATTTTAAAATTAAACGTTTGCCAATTAACATAATTTTAATATGCATATTGTGCTTTGCAGTTTGCAAATATTTTGTAGCTACTTACATTTAATACAAAGTTCTTTTTCCCAGTTTCCAGTGATGAAACTGAAACAAAAACTATTTTATAAATAATATTAAAACTAGATTCTGTAGAAGTTAGATTCTACAGAATCAAGATTCTCAGTATCATTTGGATATACTTCCGATAAAACTTTACTGAACTACTCAAAATAATGTAAAATCAAAGTATTTGGTATTAGTTTTAAAAAGAAAATGTAGACAATGTTGCTTTTTGTAAAAATCAATAGGCTGCAGTGAAATACCATGGAGACAGATCAAAGGAAAGTTTAGTGAATTTTGCCATGCAGCATGTGAGAAGCTCAGTGACAGAACTGTCAACAGGTAATTCTGTTTTCCTACTTTGCTTGATTTTCAGGGATACTTTATTGGTATTTTAGTTTTACAGTGGCAGCATTAACAGGTCATACTACTGACAGTTTTAAGTAATATTCCCTTGCTTCTTAAAAAGAAACTGTCAATGCTCTGATTTCTGCTAGTAGGAGGTATATAAGAAACTAGTTAAATTACAAATTAAAACATTTAGGATGTGGAAAGTGGATGAGAGGGACTAGGTTTAAGGCATCTTTCAAAATACTGCTGTTTAATAGTCCAAGTGATAATTTTTTGATTTTGTTTTTGTTTTTTGGTCCCAGGGATCAAACTCAGGTCCTTGCGCTTGCAAGGCAGGTGGCAGAACCACTGAGCTAAATCCCCCACCCAATTTTTTGTTTTTTTAACTTTATTGGTACACTTTTGATACACATAACGATGACAGTCATCATAGGAAATTTGTATCTCTACATAATATTGTCTTGACTTTTCTTTTTTTCCCATTGTGTGTTTTTATAGATAGTAAATTCATGCTGTCCAGTTTAAAATTCAGAATCACCTTTAAACCTAAACTTTTTATTTATCAAGTGACTTCAGGTATTTCCTCTGAAAATTGTCCGTGAAATGATAGCGTTCATGGGTAAAAGAATGTTTCTTTCATCGAGTACCAAGTTGTGTGTCAGAAACTGTTAAATACTAGGGCAGCAGTAATATATCATAATCTCTGCCATCAGTAACCTCATTTCTGTAATGAAGAAGAACTAGTAAATAACTAAACTACAATGTACTAGCTATTATAATAGAGGTAAGCTTAGAAAAGCATAAATTTTATGAACTAATCCCATTGGAAAGAGGAAAAGTTAGAAAATATTTCTTGAAAGAGGTCATACCCAGCCTGTCATGGAAATGGCCCGGAAGCCTTGAGACAGCACCATGTTTGGGAATTGACAGTATTTCAAGAATCCGACAAAAAGATCATAATGGAGTAGAGTGGTATGAAAAGAAAGATGGCTGTACACAAAACTAAGACCACAAGGAGCCTACTTGCCAGTTTTCTTCTTAATGACATACTGAGTATACTACACTTGATCTTAGCCAAAAGGCCGAGAAGTGATGACATACTGAATATAGATTTTCTACAATGAAGAATTTGGGGAGCCAGTGAAGGCTTTGACATGTTCTAGAAGAGTTTTAGAAAGGTAATATTACAGATCATAATATTCAGAGTGGATTGGAAGAGGGTGGGATTAGAAAAAATGGCATTTGGAAGACTTGCCATTATTGAGTAATAGATGATCAGAAATTTGCTTTATTTTTCTTTTAAGGAAATTTTGTTAACTCCATACAAACTGCATTTGCTGCTGGTATTGGCTGGCTGATCACTTTTTGTTCCAAAGGAGGAGGTAATTTTGTAACTCTGTTAGAATGAAAAGACTATTCCATTTAAATTTCAGGTGTGGGGAGGAGGGGCTGAAGGAAGGGGGCAGGGACAAGGGGAAAAAATGAGAACCAAGACCTGTCATGTAAAGGTACAGGATCCCAGTAATGAATGTAACTGTACTGTAGACCTGGATTATACCAATAAACTCAATAAAAAGAAAAAAAATTTTCAGGTATTAGTTTTAAGTATGCTCTTGTAAATGATTTTTCAGTGAATAATCACTTGATTATTTGAAACTACAATTTAAACCCATGATTACAATTTTGTACTTAAAAAGTATTTAACTTTCTTAGTTTAGACACAAAATATGAGTTAATTTGTTAATGGATCATTTACATTTACATTTGTTGGGTAAATTTTTCAGCTTAATCATACTTAAGATAAATTGTACCCCAGGTAACCACAGGTGTGTTTCGGCAGTTTGCAATAATAGTTGTTAATGGGTATAATCCATCTCAAAGTCCATAATAATACAAGCTTGACTTCTCTATATATAAAATATTTATGCCTTTGTCTCATAAAAGTATCTATATGAAGGTGACAGCTTCTCATTTCTAGGACCTTTCCCTTGGTAAATTAAGTTGAAAATTCAGTACACCCCACATACCGAATTACAAAATGAAAGTCATAATGAACTGGATTGGTTAAAAGTTGGTCCCAGTATTACCAAATATCCTAATTCATTAATACATTTGCATATGTTTAATCCCAACATGGGTTTATTTCCCCACTCTTTACCTCTCTCTATACTGCTTTGTTACGAATATATTGTAACTAAAATTGACTGCTCTCCTTGTCCTACAAAGCCTGTTAGGGAGATTTTGCTTTTGAATATAAATCAGCCATAAATTTAGTTATTCACCAAGGGATTTTGTCTCATGTTGGCCTAATGCTCAAGATTTCTGTCTGTCCACACATCAACAAAACTTAACCTTTCTAACATTCTTTGACTTTTCACCCTACGTAAACCACTTTTACTGTTCTCTATAGGCCGCTGCTCTGCTTTCAGATTTTACCTCATTGTATTCTAGCATTCATTTTTACAGAACCTTTATAGCAATAGTGCAAAGCCTCTTTTCAGATTTTATGGTATTCCGAGGTTCCTTTTACTTACATACATATGTTTATCAGATAGATCCATTGCATTTTTTCTCCAAATTGTAAGATATCTTGGATAAAGGAGATTGTTAATGAAAACTTGAAAGACCCTAAATAGACACATGCCTTTCTGTAGCTAGAAATCCTGAGAAACTAAAAAGAGAGAGTGAAAGTGTGTGTGTTTGTGTAAAATGAGACTTTGGCCTCCATATCTACTGAATATTTCAGAATTTGACAATATAGCTCATTTAATCGCCTTAGAATCCACATGATAATTTGGGAGAGGGGACTGTGAGTGTAAGCCTAGTCTCATGAAGTTTTTTTCCCCTCAGATTGTTTGACTCCACAGACACAACTCAGACTCAGCGGCATGTTGGTAAGTATCCTTCATTTTGTAATATCTATGTCACCATGGGAAGAAGAAGCACATTTATAAATTGATTCCAAATATTTTCATTATTTGTTGAACACAACATATTTCTAAGCCTTCTTATTTTCTGATAAATACCTTCTAACTGTAAGTTTCTTTCCAAGTAAGCTGTGTTCAATTTTGCCATGTGGTATTTTCATTCTCACTCACTTCTAAGATTCTACAATTTAATTTTTTATTATGAATTCTCTTAGTTGTGTGTTTGTGTTTTTATCATTTCAAAACTTTATTTCTGTTGTTTGTAGTTTATTTCGCTTCTGTCGTGTTGTGGTTGGGAAATGTGGTCTATTATGTGTTTAGCCTGTAACCTTTTTGGAGTGCCCTTTGTGGCTCAGGAGTTAGTTGTTAATATTGGGAAGTTATATGTGAGCTTAAAAGTAAGTTCTCTATGTTAGGTGTAATTTTATAACTTTTAAATCAAATTTATTCATGTTATTCATAGCTGCATTATTTTTGTACTATTTAATCTCTAATTTTTGAGGTGGTCATATTGAAGCCTTGAGCTACAAACATTGCTTTGTCTGTTCTGTCTGTATTTCTGTTTTTCTCATATATGTTTTCTGAGAAATAATCATTAGTTTTATCTGTGTGAACTTTCACAAACCTGCCTCACAACCTGTGAGGCAGAGGCTCCTAAGCCACAAAACTGTACAGCATGCTCTATACTGAAATCTGTGGGCACTTGGAACACAATGCCATCTGTATCTAAACCTGAAAAGTGAAATGAAAGTATGGTACAAAGGTAAAAAGTGAGTGGCCAGGGATTTAGCTCAGTGGTTCCGCCACCTGCCTTGCAAGCGCAAGAACTCGAGTTCGATTCCCGGTACTCCTCAAAACAAAAAGGTAAAAAAGTGGGACATCCGTGGAGCACACTTAGCATGAGTAGAGCTTGCCGGACTGGGAGTCACTCTGGATGGGCATTGAGTGAACATGGAGGCTGGGACGCAACAGTGCATGACTGTGACTTGATGAACACTGCATACTTAGGCCATACTGCCTTTGTAAAAATGAAGTTTTTCTTCAGTAAGAAGTTTATTAAACTTAGTTTTCTATGCCTTTTTTTACTTTGTAAATTTTAACTTCTTAACTCCTGTAAAGTAAAACTATTTTAAGTGAATATATTCCCATATAGCACATCTAGATCAAGATGTATCTTTCCTGCTTTTAAGAGACTTTTTTCTGAAGTTATGTTGTGACTTGCATAGGTGTGAGTTTTATTTCTTCTGCCTTAAGATTTATTAGACTTCTGTATCTATAGGTTAAGTGTCTTTCAAAATTGTGGAAACTTCTCAGCTGTTATTTCAGTTACTGTTTATGTCCCATTCTTTCTCCTTTGTCTTTTTTGGAATCTTGATTGTATGTTCATCCTCTATTTCTTTACCAGACTGCCCTGTCCAGAAAATTTTTGCAGTAATTTGAGGTTCTGAGAAATAGTACTTTTCATATAGTACTTTGGTGCTCATTAAAAGAGCTTAACTACCATTAGGTAAAAACTGGAACAGCACTAATTTAATTGTCAAATACACACAATAGCTAAGAAACTGTATTATACCTACCTGATGTATAGTCATAAATCTTACACAGGCTTGATTTTTAATGTAAGAGAATATTGAACAGCCTGCTTTCTATAAAAATTTGTAAACGTAGGGCTGGAGATTTAGCTCTTTGGTGCAGCCACCTGCTTTGCAAGTGCGAGGTCCTGAGTTCGATCCCTGGTACCATAAATAAAATATGTACAAATTTTTTAAAATGTTTAATATCAAAGAGAAAATTGCATTTAATTATCCTAAGTTATTGAATGTTGCTAAAGTGCAATTTTATGATGGAAAAGTGGATATTTTGGCTAAGTAAAGCAAAATCTCCTTTTCTTCCATTTACAACATAGCATGTTTTTCTTTCCATTTTAGGATGGCCTTATTAATGTTGGATGGATGGACTGTGCCACCCAGGAAAATCTCTGTAAAAGTCTGGATATTACAATAAGTACTACTGCTTATTTTCCTCCTGGAGCCACTTTAAATAACAAAGAAAAAAACAGCATTTTGGTATGAATAACTTTAAGCAAATTTCTTCACATGGAAACATGCACACACATTCAAAAGTAGTGTACCAAAAGTGCTGAACACAGCAAGGAATCGGTTTATATTACTTGACTGTGGAACATTATTATTTAGAAGAAGTAATTTCTCACTAAGTCTATAATAAAAGGATTATTTTTAAACTAGCATTTACATTACATTTAAAGCCATCACTTTTAAATTTCAAAGGTATGGAATACATTCTTAGGATTAATGAACGTTTATGAGTTTTTATGGTTTCCATAGAATTGTTTTTCTGATGTTAAAAACTGTAGATCATTTATAGGTTCAGCTGGGGCTCAGGTATCTACTTTTTATTTTTTTGGTACTGGGTATCAAACTCCAGTCCTTCCAGTTATAAGTCAGGCAACAGAACCACTGAGCTAAATCTCTGGCTCTAGGTACCTATTTTTGAAAGCAGCCTATGAGAATCTGGTGTAAACTCAGTTTGGAAATCCAGTACAATTCAGGCTCAAGCTAGTTGTCATAGAGTTGAGATAAATAATGGGATATTAGAGAAATCCTATGGAATCCCAGAAGAATTCAGAGGACTCTGATAAAGACAGAGACAGCCACCATCAAACCTTGGTGAACGTCCTTCTAGATCTCTTCTTACATATATACCCAGTTATGACCTTGTGTCAACAACTCTTCAGTGTGTTTCTGTAGCTCAGGTATTTCTCCTCCTCCCTAGAAACTCTGTGTATATACATCTATACCCAACACTGCTGCCTGTTCAGCATCACTTTTGTGATATTAGTCAGTGTCTCACATTTAAATGCATGTGAATGGACTCTGAGTATCCCCCATACATCTGCTTCACCCAGTTTTCCCCATCTCCGTCCTAAATTTTTTAGGCCAAATATCCTGGAGTCATTTGGGGGTTTTTTGTTTGTTTGGTACTAGGGATCAAACTCTCAGAACCTTGCACTTACGCGGTAGGCAGTGGAACCACTGAGCTAAATCCCAGCCCATGAAGTCATTCTTGATTCCTCTTTTTCTCATAGCTTATAACCAGTGCATCAGGAAAATCTATGGTTCTGTCTTTAAAATAGTTCATAAGTTAGCTCCACTGTACTGTTTTTTCTCCTATGTTGAAGTTTTAGTTTGGATTTATTCCTTGTCATCTACCAAATGCCTATAAGAGTTCTTGGGTTTGTCTTTAGGGTACCTACTATGCATATGTAAACATGCTATGTGTATGCACCATAAGACACACACATGAAGTAGATGTGTACATGACAGATAGTGATGAATGAGATCAGATATTTTGTGGCCTGGTTTTTTCACTCAGTGTATCAGAAAAATTATTCCTTGTCAATAAATATATCATATAGATATTTTTTTTAAGTCTCTATACATTATCCTTTTAGTAATTAACAGTCCCCGAATGTTCACCTTTGTGTACTTCTTTAAAGTTCAATCCCTATTACCAGGTTGCCCTCCAGAAATGTTGTTCTAGTTTATACTAAAGATTGTCTACACCCTGGCCAACACTTAATAGAACCTCCTGTCTTCCAAACTTGAGTGTTTTCTGTATTCATATACAGAGTATTTTGGGCTTTATGATATAAAATTGCAAGTGTCATTCAAAATATAGTAAAAGGAAGAGTTGAATTAAACACTCCTCGTCCCTCCTAAAAGCACTCACATATTAGAAGTAGGGTCGGAGATTTAGCTCTGTCTCCATGCCTGCCTCAAAGCACAAGGTCCTGAGTTTGATCCCTGGTACCAGGAAAAAAAATCCTGAATGTGATCTGCTAGGTAAGTATATGGGGAAGGTGAAATAAGACAGTATCTTCATAGGTTTAACTAGCAAATTCTACTCTTAAGCCAGGCGTGGTGGTGCACACCTATAATCCCAGCATTTGGGAGGCTAAGGCAGGAGGACCACTGTGAGTTGAGACCAGCCTGGGCTACATAGTGAGTTCCAGGTCAGTCTCAACTACATAGTGAGACTGTCTCAAAAAAACAACCAACCAAATTCTACTCAAGTTTATTATGATATTTAGTATATTAATAGCATATATAAACAGCATTTTTAAAAATCATAATGTAGAACAATAAGCTGTAAACCTGAAAAGATGAAAGATTTCTGTTTTGGTATTTAAAGCATTTGGTAGATTAGTTTATGTAGATCTTTAAGGATATGTTGTAGATTTCAGTAAACTTTAAAGCAAGTTTTAAAAAATCTAGAAAATATACTTCAATCCTTACAGTATACCTGTTTCTATCCATATTTTCATTCTCATATCTTTTACTCTGCAGGTGTGGAGTCCATAATGATAGTGCCTTCATGTTTTTGTTTCAGATCTTTCAAGTAATGTTTGAATTATTAAACAGTCGATAAAGATATACAACCCTCATTTCTTTCTTCAGTGTAACCATTGCTGTTCTTTTTTTTTTTTTTTTTTTTTTTTTTTTCCAGATTGAACTTGGGAACTTGCACTTGCGAGGCAGGCACCAGAACCACTGAGCTAAATCCCCAGCCCACTGTACTTCATAGTAATAGCAGCAGCTTTGAGAATTAGATCTGAAGAAAGGGTTCTATAAAAACTAAATAAACATGTTAAAATGCTGATAAAATATAGTCAGAAATTAAAGAATGTCTGAGTTGTATTTTAAGTAACAGATGTGGCTTTAAAACATGTTAAAAATAAGATTTTTGTGTATTTTGCTCTTAAAAACTCCTATGTGGTTTGGTTTGTGAAAGTTACCATTTCCGAAAACCTTAGTAAGTATTAATAACTGTTTCAATTTTCCTATCATAAGTTCTTAATCGGTATTAATTATGGTTGGGGCATACATTTAGATCATCAAATATTCTAGTATTAAAATTTCTAAGACATTGCAAAGCATTGGAATTCTGTTATAGGTGGTTAGCATTAAATTGAATATAATTTATTTTCATGATGATTTCAAGGTCACTCTGAGTGACTGTAGGATTAACACAAAATTCCAGTTAATAAAACAAAAATAGAATTTTTTTGTATCACCTTTGTTAAAAACAACCCATTTGATTACAGTGTGATTCTCTTATTCTAGTTTCTTAATTCATTGGATGCTAAAGAAATATATTGGGAAATAATACATAAACTTCCAGATTTTGAACTACTTTCAGCAAAAACACTAGAGGTAACATTTTTTTTTTTGTTTTTATTAATAATAAATGTGAATAACATTTTAGTGTATGTGCTGCTGAAGTGAGTGCTGTGGATACTACGATTTTAAAGTCAGCATTTGTTTTATTCATTGCTGTGGAATTGAATAGCTTTTTTTTTTTTTTTTTTTTTTTCACCAGGGTTTGAACTCAGGACCTTGAGCTTATGAGGTAGGAGGGAGAGCCACTGAGCTAACTCCCCAGCCCAAAAGGAGCATTTTAAAGACATGTATTAGTCAACTCTAGGTTAAATTCTAATTGCTGGAATTCTGGTGTTGGTAATTCAAAATAGATCCTGCAGTTTTGAAAAACCTTCCCAGACCTGAGGTGTACATCAAAAGAAGGGTCTAAAAGGCAAGATTTTGATCACAAAGCAACTTTGGATCTGTCTTGAAATTTTATTTTCTTGCCAATGGAACATTTTGTTGTCCACTGAGAGTTAAAAAAGCATTGTATATAAATAGATTGCTTAGAAAGAATTCAGTTAGTGGGAGAATCAATTTCTTTGTTCTACTTACTACTCCCAGAGCATATTTCTGCCAAATCTTAGATATTAAACCTGATAAAGCTGACTTCTCCAAACTTGCCTTCAGATTCTAGCTATGTATTGTTAAAACCATATTGGGCTAGGGATTTAGCTCAGTGGTTCCGCTGCCTGCCTCACAAGTGCAAGGTCCTGAGTTCAATCCCTGGTACCAAAAAAAAAAAAACAAAAACATATTTTGAGGCATAGTCATCTCCTTTGAGATTTATTAACTCAGTGACTTACCTACCTGTACTACTCATTTGCATAGGGTTATTCCCAATAAACTACACAGTAACACTATGAATGGGTCTACATTTTAGATTTTATTTTGAATTAATGGGTAAGGTAGCTAAAACTAACTTCATGCCAAAGAAATAAAAACTAAATCTTTTAGAATTTCCCATGTCTGATTTTTTTTTTCCTCATCACTTTGAAGGATCGTTTGGCACATCATCGCTGGCTCATATTTTTCAGTTTTGGGAAAAATGAAAATTCAAATGATCCTGAGTTGAAAAAACTGAAAACTCTTCTTAAAAATGACCATATTCAAGTAAGAAAAAAATGTATTGTGTCTCACCTGCTTGCATGCTTCCTTATCAGTCTGATATCTATAACTAAATTTTAAATAATATAACAGTGTCTATTGACATTCTGTTAAGCCTATTGTTTTTAATCTTGGAGTTGCAATTTTTGTATTACAAAACTGACATGATATCTGAAAGTGGTGACTTCATTTCTTTTGGCATTTGACAAATCTGTATCATACAGTTTTTCTAGTTTAAATACAAGAATGTCTTTTGTCAGAGTAATTTTTTATCTAACCTGATATATTCAAAACAGTCTAAATATGAAATCTCTTTACTTTTTAAATTGACATATATGTACATAGGTATAGTACAGGAGTTCAATACATGTAGTTCAGTACAGTGTATTAGATCAAATCAGGGCAATTAACATTTGTACATCCTCAAACATTTATTGTGTTCTGGGATTATAGGCATGTGCCACCATGCCCTGCTGTCTTGTTATTTCTGAAGAGATCTTCCTTAAAGGCTATAATTTTTTTCTTGGTTTATCATTTCCCTGTTACGTGTGTTTTCTGTCATGCTTACAAAAACATACTTTTTCTAATTGACACGTATTCAGCTCTCCATCCTCTGGCCCAAGATTAAACATCCTGTACATTTGTGAAGCAGATGTTCCTTAACTTCACATTTCCTTGGAAATTTCCTCTCCAATTTGACTGTCCAGGAAGAATTCTTTAACTGAACTTCATTTTCAGTACTAAATGTAAACAAACTATTTTTCCCTTTTGTTTTTATAATTGATTAACTTCTGTTGAGAAATAGTGCCAGAAGACCAGTGTCATTTTAAAGTTCTCCTTAGGAATATTTAAAATTAAATGAATAGGATTTAGTTTTCATGAAATTCAACCTTGTCTTTCAGGTTGGAAGGTTTGATTGCTCCTCTGCACCCAGCACCTGTAGGGATCTCTATGTTTTCCAGCCCTGTCTAGCAGTATTTAAAGGACAAGGAACCAAAGAATATGAAATTCATCACGGTAAAACCAAAAAAATAAGTTCATCTTCATTTCCGAATAGAAATTTTCTAATTCTTTTTTGCCTTGTTTTGTGTGCACATGTTCATTGTTAATATTTTTTGCTTTCGTTTCTTAGTAACTAGAAAACTGGTCAGGGTAGATTTTTAAATCCAAATACATCTGACTCTAAAAGGCATATGCCTAACTCATAGTCAGACCTTAAACGTACCAGTGACTAAGCTTTAGCAATGGAGATCTGATATTTTTCAGACTCTCTCCTCTTGTGTTTGCTGCCTTGTTTTGAACCTGTCAACCTCTTTGCTCTGCTGTAATAACGTCTTCCTTTTGGGCGTCTCAGAAAGTCTTTTCTTTCTGAGAGTCGAGTCCTTGTTGTATCTTCGGAGCTTGAACCCTGAACACCATTTTCATGTTACCTTTCTTGACTTTCCTGATTCATTTAGAGTAATATTCAGCATAGCAGTAGTGGTTTTTTCTGTATCTGCTTCTGGCATGCAGCAGAGCTCAGGGGAGTACTTGTTAAATAAATGAGACACTTTCACAGTCTCCCTCTGCCAGTTTTTCTAGCCTCATTTTCCACCTCTGCGCCCCCAGATGATTTTAGCTTTTGAATCCTTGAAAATGCCTGTTCTTTCACTCTTTTATGCCCTCACACGTGATTTTTTTTTTTTTTAATAATTCCTCCTGGTACAAAATATTCAGTAAACTGCAAATAGTCTTGAGAACTTAAAGCAGTTTCTTCCATGGGAAATACAAAAACAGAGTCCCCAAGCACTTTGTTGTATGTGCTATTGTTAATTTTATACCTTGTATATGTCCAAATCTAAATAGGTACAATATGGAAAATAAGGAAAAAAATGTAAAAGTCTCTGCCTTAACATTGCAGAGTAGGAGAGAATCAGTAAACTGCAAATAGTCTTGAGAACTTAAAGCAGTTTCTTCCATGGGAAATACAAAAACAGAGTCCCCAAGCACTTTGTTGTATGTGCTATTGTTAATTTTATACCTTGTATATGTCCAAATCTAAATAGGTACAATATGGAAAATAAGGAAAAAAATGTAAAAGTCTCTGCCTTAACATTGCAGAGTAGGAGAGAAGATATAAGTAAATAATTTTTAAAATTATCTTTCTGAAGCAAGGAGTAATAATTATCAGTTGTGTAGTAAATTACTCCAAGACTTATCAGCCTAAAACAACACAGATTTGTGAGCTAATGTGTCGGTGATTAGGAATCTGAGAACAGTTTAGCTGCACGGTTCATGGAGTAGGTGAGTAGGTGAGGGCTCCGGCCTTTGAAAGCCTGACTGCAGCTGCTGGATCTGGATTCTCCTAATACATAGGCTGGTATGGAGTCCCACGTGCTCAGAGACACAGATATTTGTGAAGCGGTTGAAGTAACAGCAGCTGAAGAAAAAAAAAGCAGGCGAATGTAATACTATTTATCTCCATATAGTTGTGAAATGTGTTTCTTCTGCTGGGCTGTGAATTAAAGAGAACTTTCTTTATTTTTACTTGTTTTACAACATATAAGGCAAGTACACATGGTAGATACTTAATTTTGACTGCTGAATAAATGAGTCAAAGAGCACTTGGGAAAATAAACTGCTTTGGTGGAGAAAAATATTTGCCAAGCCAAGGATATTCTTTAGGCAATGGTAAATCACTAGAGGCATTTAAGCAAGTAGACAATATGATCATATTGTTTTTAGGTGAGCTGTGCTAGTGGTATAGAAAGTGGATTAAGGAGAGCTGGGTCTTGCAATAGGCCAGGGTGAATTCAGGCAATGGCAGTGGGGTTGGAGACCTGGTAAGAGATGGAGTGGATGGAGTTAGGGTACAAGGGCAAACAAGCAAGGGTCATTCTGGGGAATCTTTTTTTTTTTTCAGCTTTAATTGAGTTTATTGGTACATTTTAGGGATACAGTACAGTTACATTCATTGTTGGGATCTTGTACCTCTACATAACAAGTCTTGATTCTCATTTTTTTCCCCTTACCTCTGCCCTCCCTTCACCCCCTCCTCCCCTCCTACAACCACTTTATTTCCATCTTTTCATTATCTCACATTTTTTTCTTTTCCCTTTTTACTTTTCCCCTACCCATCCCACCTTCCCTATACCTTTAGCTCCTTTCTTCCCATTTCTAAATGTCAGTAATCTTATTAGAATCGTATGCATTGTTGCAGATTATTTACACCAGGGAAACTATTCGGTATTTACACGTGTGACTTATTTATTTCACTTAGGAGTATATCTTCAATATGCATCCATTTTCCTGTGAATGAATCTATTTTCTCATTCTTTATGGCTGAGTAATATTCCATTTTATAGAAAAACCACAACTTCTTTATCCAGTTTCCAATGGATGGGCAAATAGGCTGTTTCCAAGATTTAGCTATTACAAACTGTGCCGCTATAAACATGGGTGCACATACTTCTCTGTGATATGATTCTTCTAGTTCTCTTGGGAAGATACCCAGCAGAGGGATGCCTGGGTCAAATGGAACCTCCAGTCCAAGCTCTTTGAGGTGTCTCCATATTGATTTCCATAGTGGTTGCACCAATCTGTACTCCCACCAACAATGGAGAAGGGTTCCTTTCTCCCCACAACCCCGCCAGCATTTGTTATTCTGTGATTTCTTGATAGTTAGGTAACTGGTTAATGGGGTTATGCCATTGTCAGGCATGAAAAGGTGAGAAAACCAAGTTTGGAGGAAAATAACTAACTGGATCTGGATTCAGCTTCAGTTTGGAGATCTGATGTTTGCAGAGTTCATGTGCTGTTCAGGCACAATTTTCCACTGGTTGGTTGGTAATACAGGTTTTGAATTCATAGTAAGCTGAAACAGATGTAGGAGTTAGGTCATAATAATAGCATAAAGAATTCAAAGTCATTGTAGTGAAGATTATTCTACCTCTTAAGATGGAGCAATTCAGAGGTTTTGACATTTTGACTAGGCCAAGATACAGAGTGTTCAAGAAAAGGCTAAAAAAAAACATAGATAACACAGAACACAAAAACTTACCAAAATTGTACCAAAATCGATTTATATATAAGTTCATCTTGCTTTAATATTGATTATAAGAAATTTAAAATGATTATGTGAAAACAGAATGTGGATTTTAATTCTTCTCCTACTTAATTTCAAGGAAAGAAGATTTTATATGATATACTTGCCTTTGCCAAAGAAAGTGTTAATTCTCATGTTACCACACTTGGACCTCAAAATTTTCCTTCCAGTGACAAAGAACCGTGGCTTGTTGATTTTTTTGCTCCTGTAAGTTATTTTTATCTGAGAAATTTCAATACTGTACTGTATTTTCTTGTCATGGCAAAAAGAAGTTTGTAAATGCTGTTGAGACATTAGTACCAGAACTGTTTCACTGTTTGAGCCAGGGACCGAGTATAAACCCAGAAGAGGCACACTGCTTATTTATAAAGTGATGGAAGTGTTTTATTTCAATTGGTTTGATGCTTTTCTTTTTTAGTGGTGTCCACCATGTCGAGCTTTACTGCCAGAGTTACGGAAAGCATCAACAATTCTTTATGGTCAGCTGAAATTTGGTACACTAGATTGTACAGTTCATGAAGGACTCTGTAATATGGTAAGGCAAAGTATAAAAAATACAGTTGAGTTAATATTTTTTTGTAAAATAGACTTTTAAGCAGTTCAGTATTAAAGCAAGGCAAATACTACGTAAACCGTCTAGATAGATAATCTTAAATAAATGGAAAAATCGGGTCAATAAGTTACGTTTGTCTTAGTGTTACCTTTGGGAAAGTCTATAATTGTCTTTAGTTTTCCTTATAATTTTTTTTAAGTATATAGTCAATAGAAAAAAATTCAAACAGTGAGCAAGCATTTTGAAACCTTTGTTTAAATGAAAATATTTTCTTAGGTAAACAAATACTTTCTAGTCCTCATTTTTTTTTGTTTTTTGAGACAGGGTCTCATTATGTAGTTGAGACTGACCTGGATGGAACTCACTGTGTAGCCCAGGCTGGTCTCATACTCACAGCGATCCTCCTGCCTCAGCCTCCCGAGTGCTGGGATTACAGGCGTGTGCCACCACGCCAGGCTTCTCATTTCCAATTTTATACTTTGTGATGGAGGTATACGATACTATCTCTAGTTACTGTTGGCATTAAAAAAAAAATCAATCCTGAAGCTGCTCGGACTCCAGATCTGTTACTGTATGTGGACTGCAGTGACCGAGGCACAAGTGACCTGGTGCCCTGGGCTTGCAGTCTACAGATCTCAGCAGGTGTGAGCAAGAGAGAGGGGAGAGGGCAGAAGTGAGGCCAGGGAAGAGAGCACCGCAGTCTGCCCAGAGTAGTGTTGAATACAGGGATCTGTCAGATTATATTCTCAGTATGAGTGAAATGTTTTTTAAGCTTTTATAAAAGGAAATGGGGGGCCGGGTATTTAGCTCAGTGGTGCCTTGCCTTGCAAGCGCAGGGACCCAAGTTCGATCCCCAGTACCAAAGAAAAGGAAATGGGACCTTTTGTTTCTAATGATTTGTAGGTGACTTTGAAAAATAAATGCCTACCAAAGATGCATAATTTTTGTGATAAGCAATAATTATCTTTAGTTTTTCTACCTTTTATCTTAAAATCATTAAATAGTACACAAGTCATAATTATAAGGATTTAAAATATGGGATCAGTAATCTCAGCACTCGAGAGTCTGAGGCAGGAGGCCTCAGCTGAGTTGAGTTGGAGGTCAGCCTCGACTACAAAGGGATACCCTGCCTCAAAAAACAATATGGGATCAGATTCACTGCTAATTAGTTGCTACTCACTAATTGGTTCAGTTTGACCACGTCGCTGGCCCCTTGGTCACTGTTTTCTCATCTGTGAAGTAGGTTTTGTGATTTTAACTCCTAAACAAAATCTAAGAAATAAATGAAACACTTTCTTTTTGGATACATAATAAATACTTTTTAAATTTTACTGTTTTATTAATCTAATGAATTACTTGAATTTACATATTTTTTCAGAATTCTGATAAAATGTTGCAGCTGTTTTTCTAAAATAATATGACTTCAAGGTTTCAGTTGCTAATGTGTGCTTATCCATTTAGAAATATAAAGTTCAGCTATAGCAAATCTCTTTATAACTTGTTAAAAACTTGAATATACTGTGATTCTTGGGCCAATACCCATATTTCTGAGGTGGAGATTAAACAGTTTTGCACCATAAAAACTATCTTTCTTAAAGAAGACATGACCAGATTCTCAGGGCATGATTCATTTTTCTTGAACCTAAAATAGTCATATACACATTGATTTATTCTTTATTTTCTTGATCATCATCTGTCTAGAAAAATTTAAGCGTATTACTGTGATTTCAAAAATGATGAAATGGGCTGGGGATTTAGCTCAGTGTTCCGTTGCCTGCCTTGCAAGCACAAGGTCCCAAGTTTGATCCCTGGTACAAAAAAAGATGACTACCAACCTATTTTTTACTTTTTCCTTTGGTTCACCCAAAAGGGGCCAAGAATGTAATTACTCATGCTCATCTTCTCAGTGTTTTGATACCTTTGATTTTTATCGCTAATGAAGTACCTAAAGTAAGAATCCAAGTGTTCATCGGTATAATGGTAAATCACTTTGCTAAATATGTCTAGGCATATGTCTACAATTTTTAGTCACCAGAAAATTAGCTGTGGGTTTTTCAAATCTGACTATTGTGACTTAGGAAAGCTGGTTATAAAATGGAAAGAAATAGGTATCATGCATAACATCCTTGGTTAACTTGTATTCTCTTCCCTGACAGTATAATATTCAGGCTTACCCAACTACAGTGGTATTCAACCAGTCCAGTATTCATGAGTATGAAGGTCATCACTCTGCTGAACAGATCCTGGAGTTCATAGAGGTATTTTCAATTACAACATGCGACTAGAAATCCTTTAAATGACTGTTTCATAAATCTAGTATTGACTATTTCATGCCAAAATGTTATTTCCTAAAAAGGAAATTTTAAAAATTCAAGCCCTGTACCAAAAAAAAATTCAGGTTTGTTACCTAGGGTATTACCTTGTACATAATGGATACAATTCTATTGAATGTAAGAAATTCTGTTTTCATCTAAAGCTGTTTTCCCCTTGCTCTGCACATGCAGCAGCAAGCCCAGCGGCCTCCACCACCCTGCTGCTTTAGCTCAGAAGAGCCTCTGTCCCAGAACCTCTGAGTACTCAGTCAGGAGGTCACAGGGCTCCTGAGAAAGAACAAGAAGCTCTAACTGAGAGCTGTACATCTCATGATTGTTTCACTCAGTCCTCATCTGTTCCTCCACCTTCACAACAGTGCTTGGTGTTTTTTGCTTGTTTTCCCAGTGACACTGCCCTCCTTGTTAGTTACCTGAACCTCATAGGCTGAAACTTTGTGAGAAAAGCACTTGGAACACGTGATCCCTAGAAACGTTGTACAGTAGAGTATGCTCTAGTCAAAATGTCAGAAAAACAAAAAAGACAGCAGGCTTTCTGTTAGTAATCAGGGACTATTTCCAAACCAGTCATTCTTGGACAGACAGCAGATGAGTAGCTCCTGAACTCTATTGAGCCAGGCTACAATGGTTTTAGTGATAGAGGTAAGGAAAAATATACCTTTAGTTAAGAAAACTGATGGACAAAAAATCCAAAGTTAAGGAAAAATGGTTATTTTCCATTTTGTTGTTGTTTTCTTGAGACAAGGTGAAATTGTGGTGGTCTTCATGCATTGGCCCAACTGCTCAGATGACAGATGTGTGCCACCCCGCCCAGCTATGCTTTTCAGTTTTTGACACAATTCACTATAGATGACTGTTTTGTTTTGTTTTGGTACCAGGGATCGAACTCGGGTCCCTGCGCTTACAGGGCAGGTGGTAGAACCACTGAGATAAATCCCCAGCCCTAGATGACTTTTTTTTTTTTTTTTGGTACCAGGGATTAAGGTTGGCAGACTTAAAAGTAAGCTATAAGTATTCTTGAGCATCTTTTCATTTCTCTAGGGCAGCAACTTTGCAGGAATATGTGAACAACTTTTTAATACCTCTTAACAGTAGTTTATGTTTTCTTTAGGATCTTAGGAACCCTTCAGTGGTCTCTCTCACACCCACCACATTCACCGAACTGGTTAAACAAAGAAAGCATGATGAGGTCTGGATGGTTGATTTCTATTCTCCATGGTGTCATCCCTGTCAGGTCCTTTTGCCAGAATGGAAAAGAATGGCCCGGGTACAGTAAAATCCTTTATTTTAAATCTTAACCACCTACAAGGAGTGTCCCTTTAACAGAGTTACTTTGAAACTGAGATAAACTGAGTAGGTGATGAACAACAGCCCTGATCATACCATTAAGACCCTACCTCGGTTTCATAAACATTTCAGCTGTGCAGTTCAGCCTTTTTTGTGTGGCATCAGTTGTAACCAAATTGTTACCAATGTCAACCCAAAAAACCCTTTTCTGTTTAAATGTTCTCTACTGCTTTTTCTTTAGAATTTAAGTATCATTTCTTCGCAGTACTATCAGACTTTCAGGGAAAAAAAAGTAGTCCTGACCAGGAAAACAATTTCTGTTTAGAAATTTCCTGCAAATAGCCACAGTGTTAAAAATTATGAAAGATTGGAAATGACTTAAATGCCAGGGTGAAAAATGCAGTTAGTATTTATTTCTAAAATAGGAAACCAAGAGTCAAAGTGATTTCTAGTGTTTTAAATGTTTTAAGATTTTTAACTTTTGGGGCCAGAGATTTGGCTCAGTGGCCCCATGTCTGCCTGTCTGCCTTGCAAGTGCAGGTCCTGAGTTCGATCCCCAGTACCAAAAGAGATTATAACTTTTACACCCTTTTCAGTAAAATTTTGTGATTTGGGTATGAGAAAAAAGATACATGTAATCCTAGCCTCTATTAGAGAAAGTATTTAAAAGCTTCCTTCGTTTTTGGGTTTTAACACTGAGTTTTAGAGACTAAAATGCATGTTTCCCGTGTAATGAAATATATTATTCTGCAATAATTCTGTCATTATAGAGTTAGATTTCAAATTCATTAGGAGTTTTTGAATGTTTTTTTTTTTGTAAAGTTACCCG